AACTTATCATAATACAAGGGATTAATGTAGCATAAAATGCTACATGGTTTGGGACAATATATTAGAAAAACCAATAAGAATTTATAACATGGATCAAGCCATAAATGTCTTATAATATACCTACACTTGACCATGCCTAGAAAAATAAATAATTCAATGCCTTCAATGTTTTTCTTTAAAAAAAAAAAAAACAAAAAAGTGCTTCAATATCAACAAGTCAAATTCAGCATAGGTCTATATCTCAACTAGACCTGGGCCGGGCCGGGCTTTTACTGTGTATTAACAAATTTTTTTAAGGCTCGAGCCCGAGCCCGGCCCGACCATCGGGCCTACAATTTGGGCCCAAGCCCGGCCCTCATAAAAACCCCGAAGCCCGAGCCTGGGCCCGGGCCCGAAATTTAGCCTATATTATTATCATTATTAATGTTGAAGCAGCTGAATAAAGAGAGAGATAGATTGAAATTATAAAGAAAAGAATAAAAAAAAATATATATATATATATATATTAAATTATAAATATATATATATTTTAATAAATATTATATTATTTATATATTTTATATGATATATAAAATACATATTATATATTTTATAAAATATATAATACTGAGTCGGGCCAGGTCGGGCTCGAGCCGGGCTTTTTTGACAAATCCCGAGCTCGGCCCGAAACACAGTCGGGCTTACTGTGTTAAGCCCAAGGTCAGGCCCGCGGGCCTAATTATATGACCAAGCCCGGCCGGGGTGCGGGCCGGGCCGTCGGGTTACCCGGCCCATGAACAGGTCTAATCTCAACCCAAAGCCTGATTAAGGCTGATCCGACTCTAACCCAAATATAGATTCAGATTGATTTAATTCTTACCCTGATCCACTGACATCCCTACCTCTACGGTTGTGTACATAGCTTCTCTCCTTTGAAAGAAGCTATTTATCTATTTTCTCCAATTTTTATATTTTTCTTATTTTCTTTTATTTTAAAAATATAAAACAATAATCATTGCTTATTTTGATTACATTAATAAAGCTACACACTATTAAAGAGAGACCTTTGAGTTTTCCAAAGCCTCTTATTTTAATGCATGCTATTATTACATTTAAAAAAGACATTTAAGAGAGAGAAACCTTTGGGTTTTCAAATGCCTCTATTTTCATTTAAGAGAGAGAGAGAGAGAGAGAATAGTAATAATATAAATCAAGGTTTTTAAACCAAACCAGACAATGAACCAATTAAAGGTCCAGTTCCCAGGTCAAACGGTCTAACCATTTGAACAGAACGGATGACCCGTTCTAACAAAAAACATAAAAAAATAAAAAAGGCCAAAACCATTGGACATTTTAAATGGTTTAACTACCCGGGTCAGTGGTTTGTTGACCAAATCAACGGTTTTTGGTGAAATAACGGCTCTCGGGTAAAACAGGTCACCTGACCGGTTCCTTATCTTTCCAGTCCGGTCCGGTTTTGAAAAGCATGATATAAATCAAATAATATAAATATGTTGAGGTTAAACAATCAAAAAATTATTAACTTAAAAATCCACTAAACTTTCACTAAAAATAAATATTAACAAAACATAGTAAATATTAAAAATGTGTTTCAATTCCACTTCAAAATCTAACTTAATAAACCCTAATAAAAATAAGAAATTTAAATATAAAAAATATTAATCGATAGTTTTAATAATATTATTAGATAACTTATGAGTTGAGACCTTAATAAACTCTAATAAAAAATATTAATTGATAGTTTTATAATATCCATAATTAATTAAAAATCCAAAAAATTATGAAAAACCTAAACATAATTAAAATACTAAAAATAATTAAAAAATATTGAATGTTAACAATATTTTATATTAATAAGGGTATTTACTAAAAATAATTAAAAAGTACAATTAATAGTATTTTATTATTAAAAAATACCAAAAATTATTAAAATATACCCAAGCCAAAAATTATTGAAAAATATTGAAAATTAGCAATATTTTTTATTAACTATGGTATTTATTCAGTTATTTCATTTAATTTTACTAAAATCAAATGCAAATTAATTTTGTAATATGCAAAAATAAATTATGAAAATACTGAAAATTATTGAAAAATGCTCATATGCAAAAAATACTGAATAATAATGAAAAAACACCAAAAATTAATTAAAAATCCGAAAATTCTGAAAAGCCTAAAGCTTAATTAAAATAATAGAAATAATTAAAAAATTAAATTAATTGTATTTTATTGAAAAAATACTGAATAATAATGAAAAAAAATAACGTATTTTAATTATTAATAGTAATATAATTAACAATAATTATTTTTAAACTATAATTAACGGTAATTATAATTTAATCTACAAATAGTAGAAAATTACATTTAATTAGTTTTAACCAAGAAGCAATATTTCTGAAAATATGATAATTTCCAAAAATTACTATATTTTAAATAAATATAGTAATTTAATAATTATAATATTTTAATAATTAATAATAAAAAGTAACAAATCGTTTATAACTTAATCTAACCCGATTAGATCTATAAATTGGCAGGCTCAAGCAACTATTTTCTTTTGAGTTAGGTCTAGCTGAGATATGCACCATGCCCACACATTATTAAGGATAATTAGATCCGAAGTCTAATTGGGTATCAAACTTTTGGAATCCAGTGATGGCTTTAGCGAATAGGACCCAAGCTAAACAGCCCCTAATAAGCTCAAATTGGAAGTTATATGCATAAATGGTAAATATTATTATATAATATTTAAATAAAAATTTTATATTATTATATATGGAAATGCTATATATTGTTTATACTAGACAAGAATTAAATAAAAATTTTAATTTGTAAAAATCATAGTTTTATAATTAACACGAGCCTCTTTATCAACAGAAAATGTGCAAGCTTGAGCTTGAGCTCGAGCCCATCTCGACCATCGGACCTAGATCTTGAGCCCGAACCCAACCCTTATCTAAAGCCCAAGCCCGATCTATACACAAAATGTCTTATTTTCAGTATACTTTTATAAACTAATATTATATTAATTTAGTAATAATTTAATAAATCAATAAACTAATTTATTTTTCCTAATAGTAAATTGATATTTATTAATAATTTAAGAAGCATATATTATATATATATATTTATTTATTTATTTTTTATAACATAAGTACTTTTTTATATATGTAATAGTATCATGCCGCATGTAGGTCATGTCGTATCGTGTCGATCCAGCATGTCCCGATTTACACCTGTACTTTAACCCGCCCAATACTGGGGACGGGGTGGGGAAGTTCGAGGACTCCCCATCCTTGATGAGGAGTGGGGTGTTTTCCCTGAACTCGCCTGACATTGAAGAGTTGTATGCCTTGCCCTAAACCCGCTTGACACTAGGGATGGGGCGGGGATGGGATAGAGTGTCTTGACTATGGGGTAGGGACAGGGATGGGGTGCCCTACACTAAACCCATGCCGTTGTCATTCCTATATAATTGTTAACTATTAGTGAAATTAATAAAAATGCTTTTGTAATTATTTTTATTTATTTAAAGTTAATCAAATTTTTATTTAAAAATAATAACAATTCTTAAAATTACTACAAATTATTAATAAAACTAAATTTATTAAAAAATATTTGTTAATATTAAATTAATAATAATTATTTTCTATAAATCGACATTAAATAAATATAATTATTAAATTTTTAGATATTAATAATAACTTTGAATATTTTTAATTAATTAACAATAAATTTTAATTATTAATTTAATATAAATTAATAGTAAATAAGATTATTAAATCTTTCAGATTTTATCGTACATACCACCGATCCCCGCTAGGAGGGAGATAAACAGGTTTAGTACTTGTTAATATATCCTTAGTTATTATTTAATATGGATGAGATGCCAACCCTACGGCCAGGTGGTGATTGTAGAGTTTGCTCCCACCTTGACATAACACACGTGGTGGTCAATTTCTGGTTACCTGTTGAACAGGTTGAACCTTTGGAAGTCGCACCATTCTGACAATCTGTTGGATAGATTGAACCTCGGTTTTCGCACCATTCTGTGTCCCACCCGGCCACCGTTCAAACTTGTGCAGCAGGTAAGGAAGAGGCTATCTGCTACGTGTGTTATGTTGATTGGAGTTAAGTTTAACAAAATAAGTTAAAAATTGAAAAACAAAATTCCGTATTAGGGTTCTCTACGAGACACACACTACCGATCAACGTTCGGAGCCCTGACAAAATTTCGTACTAGAGTCATGGATGACAAGTAATAAATGAATGTAGTTCGTAAATAAGGGAGTAGTCACCGTTTATTGGGTCCTACGATGAAGATATGTAACCCAGTGCAGAACTGTCCAGTTCTATCGTTCTATTTTAGTAAAAAACACTGTTGGTTTTGGATCGGAAATCGTCCAGTGCAAAATCTCCTGAATATTCTGATTTTATGCAATCCATTCGTGAATACTGTTTTTTTTTTTACTTGTTTTTGGGCTCATCAAGAACTTGATAATTGAAACTTACTCTAAGTCTGTTATCATTGCAATTTGCAGGTTTTTTGCTTGGCATTTACAGCTGGATGATATTCTGAGTTTAAGTAATGACAGGTTTCAGTTTAAATTTGTTGGCACTTGGTAGACAAGCAACCCAGGTTTCAGTTTAAATTTGGGTCACTCAGTCACTTGGAATCACCCTCCGGACTGGCTACTGGAAGGTCTGAACTTTGGTCGATCTTGAATCTGCTACGGATAACAGAGCTAGCTGCTCATCCGCCCTAGTAGTTTTTTCTCTTCTCATTTTCTGAGTTCCTAGTTGGTTCAGTTCTTAGTTAGTTTCTTGGGTTTTCTTCTGGAGTTTTAGTTGCTTTGTTTGTTGCTAACGAACCATCCTTTCTAGTACAAAAAAAAAAGGCTTAGTCCTAGCAATTCAATCTGCAGTTCAAAAAGAAGAAGGAAAAAAACAAGAAGAGGAAAGAAAGAAAGAAGACCGCCAAAAGTAAGAACACAATTGGATGAGAGGAAAAACAAGCACAAAGCAAAGCAAATATATTACAGTGCATCGTGAAACTGAGAGTAGGATCTAGGACTGAGAGATCCTATATTTTGAAAAATCCAACAAGATGGAAAGCAAGCTATGGTTTAAAGACCTTAACAGTATCAATCGAACCACTTCCTTATTTTTATTATTGGCTTTATTTTTTTCATTTCTGACTTTATTTCGAAGGATGTTGCAGGAGGTCTACCGAGATTAAGTGTAGCTCCATAGACTTTCTCCATCTGAATTTTCCGGCGAGTCGTCACTGATGCCTGAATCGATCCTGGGCGGGCTCAACAGCATTCCCTCTGCCATGTTTGCCAGAAGCTTAGGCATTTCAAACAGTGCCTCCTCATCAATGAATTCTTCCGCGGTTGTTGGACGAGTAGATTGGGTGTCAACATCTCCCGACTGACCGAGTAGTGGTACTGGGTCGTCGATGGACTCCGGCTTGGGGAGTCTTGAAGCGGCAGCTGCAGCGGCTGCAGCGCGTATATCGGATGGCGATGCAGACGCTGGAATTGGGTAAGAACTAATAGTCTCAGGGAAGTTAAGGACAGAGTCATTGCCCTTGAGAGCGAGTGCTGCCACGTCGTAGGCGGCGGCAGCCATCTCCGGTGTAGGGAACGTGCCGAGCCATATCCGTGTAGTCTTGCGCGGCTCCCTGATTTCAGACACCCATTTGCCGCTCCTGCAGCGGATTCCTCGATAAATCGGGTGTTTTCCGGCGATGGGTGGGGGAGCAGCGGAAGAAGACATAGTCATTTTGGGTGAGGGAGGGTCAGACGTGGGATTACTACGGGAGTGCTCTGGGAATTGGTCCACTGGCACTGGGTTCACAGACGTTTGGGTGGAGGGAAAGGGCATAGGAGGAGGTGGTAGTGATGGATTAGGCGGTGGTTGCTGTTGGTCTCCCAGGTGCATATTAGCTGGCTGGGGAATTAGTTATACAAGAAAGGGGGGGGGGGGGGGTGTGAAGGATAAGAGAATTTAACCAGAGGAGTGACGAGTGGATTATGTAAGAAGGTATTTAAGGGGGGAAGAGATTCACAAGGCAGAATGCGTGGGGATTTCTTAGCTTACATCTCACTATCTCAGCCTCCTGTTATTAATATACTTGCTAGCGCCTTTATTTATTCTTTACCATAATACAATCTAGCTAGTACACAGATAAAACCTTTTGTTCCTTTAAAAGGGAGCAAAAGCTCCAATTCACGGTGGATGAAAAGGCCATGCCTCCCCTCTTACCCTGTATAACCAATACTTATTATAAGAGCCAGGTATTTGTTTGTCCAAATTCTATATCAGATGAAGGGTGATCCAAATTCAATCCATTGTAATTGGATTAAATATGGATCCACCCCTATTTCTATATCTGTTTAGTTTTTACTAGTATAGTCCTAGCTTCAAGCTCCATATGTTATTTTTCAATCATTTTTAGTTTACTTAATTAAAATATATATAATATAATATTTGGACCATTTTTGTTTAAGGAAATTATCTCTCTCTCCTCTCACTTTATTGACAACGTCTAAAGATTCCTTTGACTTTGAGATATATACTTCCAAGGAAATTCTTGTCAAAAGTTTTTGTAAACCATATAATTCACTTATGTCATGCTGTCTTATGGTTTCATTAAACAGTGATTTCACTTGATGTCACTACTATCCCTTGTGCTTAAATAGAATGCATGATTAGGATCCACCATTAAACAGGTTTCTCATAGATTTTGTAACAGCATCATCATAATAAAACTTTTTCTTCTTCTTCTTCTTCTTAAGCTGACTTGACTAATATATCCAACCAATGAGCTTTTCTTGATTGATTTCTTTCTTCTTTTCGCTAGGCAAACGTGATAGACAATAGGGACAACTCTTCCCCAATTCCCTGTTGTAGTGGGGATAACTTGGCTGTTGGGGTTCAACAGCCTATGCTGTTGAGAGCGTTTCTGGACTGGACACGTTCACTCATTCATTCCCATGTCTATCTTTTTGGTCGAATGAAAATAGCAAATAATTACTAATTTACCCCACTTTCATGATAACGTGGCATTCCCAAGGTTATTCTCAACAGCAAAGGACGTTTGACCCCTAACAGCCAAAGTATGGTGGTTGTAGGGAGGGATTCAATTACAAGTATCCACTAAGAACAGCTAGAGGCTTTATTAGCAAGCTAGCTGACGACTTGATTGATGTTAGTTAATGCCTATTTCCAACCATGCTTAAATTCAAAATCAGTGGTCATTCTATATACCACCTGACCTACCTCTTTGGGCTTAGAGTGAGCTGATATCAGCCCCGTTTAAATTAATCAGAAACTAGCCCAATTTGCCTACTCAAAATAAAATAGTATAATATATATTTGGTAGTTTTAGGTGCCGGAAGGGTAATTGATGAATAGAAGTTGGATTAGTTACTATCAGACAATTAATGCAATTGAACTCTATCAATGGAAAAGGTGTTTAGAATGGTTGGAATTGTAGATGTTTACATATAAATATAATCACATGTTTAACTGTTTATTTATTCTTCGTCAACTTTGTTTCATATCAACATCTCAGGTTCTCAGCCATGCATGAAGAGAGACAGAAGAATTAAGACAGGTTTGAATTTGACCAACAAAATATTGTATTTCATGAACCTGTTTTGGAGATTAAAACCGTCATCTTCAGGCCGGCTTTGTTGTGTGGAGTCTAAACCAGAAATTCAGAATGTGTTTTATATGACACATTTTTATGATCATAGAGAGAGAGAGACTTGTAGGATAAGAGGTGGGCTCCTTTTGTGCAAATGGGGGACCGATCCATGCGAGCGAGGATTCCTCATTCCTTGTGTGCAAATCCGGTCGGGTTATGAACTCCCAACCCGATCTACCCTAATCCAATCCAAAATCCTTCCACCCTTGAGGTGGGCATAGACCGTAACCCGACCTCCAGAAGTATTAGGCAACATTCCAGGGCATTTCAGTTTATTCACAACTAATTTCAGTTCTTAATCTCCAAACAAAAAAGGGTATGTTAGTATGCAATGATAGGGGTGGTTCACCTTCGTGGATTTAATCCAATGTGGAAATCGAATACTATTAGTGAATTAAACTAGTTATTCTTTTTGGTAATAAGTTACACAGTACAAGGAGTAGCCCTTCAAAATATCAATACAGGCTGATACGCTGGTAGGGCATATTGGCCTGTACCGGTACTGTTTTTTTTATTTTTTATTTTGGAATTGATTCAAAAGGGCAGATTTAAGGCTAATCTACCCTCTAAACCACTTGTTGATCCAAAACACCCCTTGTATGAGTGTATTGGAAAGGCTCTGATACAATACATGTCGATTCATACAAACCGATACATAACGAAATTTTAATCACCAATAGTCTAGCTGCCTTCTTCAAATTAATAAAACTGGTAATATACATCTGAATCATATATTACTAGTCGAGTCCCGTATTATGCACGAGCTTTATAAAATAAAATTAAAGCAGAGGGGCCCTATGATATTTCCAATTCTTTGAATGAATTAAATGAGTTAATTTTGAATTGGGGTATATCCAACTATTTTATTCAACTATAGATAGCAGATCGGTTTCAAATCATTTAATCATTAAAACAAATAAAAGAAAAAGGCTATCTTCATAGGAAACAATTGATTGCTGAGAGCCCAAGATCTTACCATTAATCAAGTAAAGGTCCCTATAAAAGATTCTAAAAGAACATTGATCATTCTTTCTAATTAGTATAATTGAACTTCATTAACTAGAAGAATGTTCTGGATGCATCAGTTTGCATTCTTGATTCTCCACATCACATCCCCAACTTCTTGGACCCTCTTTCCCAATAACAGAGCCAGCTGTTTCCAAGTTCAGACTTTCTTTTGCCTTTACCGTGTAGTAGTAACCAAGGAAAGAGACTTTTGCTGCTTCATGGTACAGGAAGAATACTCCTTTGCATGGTAGATAACAAACCACATCACCTATATTTAAAACACAATTTATATGATTCTGGAAAAGGTACAGTACCTGAAAACTTTAACCAAACAAGAACATAGGTGACTTTGGATGAAGGCCACAATTGATTGGCACCAGATATATTATCTTTTCGTTATTGCTAGTAAATTTGCATGACTTGTGATTCCAATCACTTTTTTTTTTTTTTTGAATATTACTTTTTTATCGGTTTTTTATCTTCTAGTGAAATTGACCAGTTGAATTGCATAACCCGTTACCCCAGGATTTATTTACCACCAAACCTAACTATTTGCTACAAAAGCCATTGACTTGATCAATAATATAGTGACGTTCTAAATTGAACCATTGACTTGTTTAACCTGTTTACTGTTTAGGTTAAACATTGATTTTTCATTTTTTTCCTAATTTTATTTTTTATTTATCACATTTATTTTTTAATATGACATATGCATAATATTGGAGATATGTCTATATTTTTCTTGACAAAATTTCTGTGATTTTTTTATACTTTTTGTGTATCTATCTTTTACAAATATGTATTATTTAAAATTTGCATTTTATATACATCATTAATAAAATTGATTCTTATTTGTCACACTTATTTTTGTTTAATATGATTTTTTGGTAGATGCATGATATGATTAATAAATAATATCAGAGATGTATCTAAGTTTTTCATAATTCTTTGTATTTTTTTTTATTTTTAAACATTTATCATTTAAATATGGCATCATGGATTGATCCCTTTGATCCAGAATTCATTTCTGGTTTGGTTTTAGATTTTGTATCCATTTCTACCATTAACAGAAATACTTTTATTTGCCATGATTATTTTTATTTAATATGGTAAATAACTAATATTAAAGATGTGCCAAAATCTTATACAAGTTCTCTTATCTTTTTGTATTTTTATCTATTTTAAATTTTTAGTATTTAATGATGGTATCATGGGTTCACTTGTTTGACATAAATGGTATTGTTGAATTACTTATCACCTAAAAATACCTATTTTATTTTTGGGGATTGATTTTAAAAACGTTAGTTTTTATGTTATTAAAATTATTGTATATAAATTTAATTAGTGGAATTTAATGATAAGAAAATAAACTATAAATATATATGATTCAATGAAAGACCGTGAAAATTAATATCTTAAATATGAGACTTAATAAGAGAGAAAAACATTAATTAAAGTAATATTCAAATTACAATTTTTGCACTCGTAATAAGGAGGGACCAAATTCAAACACAAGTGTATTTTAGTAAAAAACGTCCAAAATCCTTCGGAGAGAGGAGTGGGTATTCCAACTTTTTTTATAAGATTTTGACTATGATGAGATCGGATTAGCTAAACTCAATAGCTATGCTGTGTATGGTGAAACCATATTAATGCCCCACGCCATTCATTAAATGCATATGGTACAAAACCACTCTCTCCCTCATTAATTGGGGTGTTGTCATTATCATTGTTTCCACAGCCCGCTACATGGCTATCACATTCAGCTATTCTTAATTTGGCTACGATACAGAAAAGGCATAATACATAAAAAAAAAAGAAAAAAAAACCTGATAAAATCAATAGGTATCCCAAATGTGATTACTAGTCAACTGATACTAAAAATTGGCTTCTTAAACCTTCAATAACCCATCTCGTAGAATATTAATTGCAGCCGCACATTGGAAGTATCTTCTATATTCGTGGAGAGATGTTTCCAATGCACCATCTGCATAAGTGGTGTGAGGTGGGTGTAAAGAGGATTTTGTGAGAAAGAAATTTGGATCCTTATTAAGAAGAGTACACACTAAAACTAGAGGTTATTTTGACGGTAACGTTGACGTTTTAAGAACTAAAAACAAGTATTTTTTATTTTCTCTTATTGTCGAATGTACCAAGTACTAAAGAGAGAAAAACAGAGAGGCATGCTGAGGTGTCGAAACGTGAAGTACCACTGGGCCGCCACCTACCTAATCTACACTATGAAAAACCACACCAATAAACTTACATACATGGTTACTCGTTAAATAGCCTTACTGGATGCACACCTTATCCACCGTGGCGGTCCAATAAATTGAGTCTATTGTGGTCCAAGCATTCCTAACATAAAGGGCCTTCATATAAATTGTTTAGTACCATGAGAACTGATGGTGTGTGATATGGTAGCTCCATGTTGGAGAACAGTTTGAATGCTGGACTAGATAGGTCATTTGGTCGAGTTGTAAGGAAAGAGAGAAAAGAGAGAGTACCCGGGTTACTTTACTCGGTGTGGGCACTTCAATGCTTAATTTAGCGAACTAAGGTTTTTTAAAAGTTAAAAAGCAAGAGAGAGCTAGAGAGCTTGAATGCTAAATCGCACGTACCTTATGAGGTTGGAGGTGAGGCCCTTATATAGGCGAGTTGTCGTGAACCTCACGAAACGTGTTTGGGATCTCTGACCTGTCTGGTTCAAAGGTGGTTTCACACCTGGAGGTGGACTCCGTGTAAGTAGATAATGTTTATCCAATCCCGCCTAAAGTGGGCAAGGTGATAACTAGCTCTTCCAATGTGGCATCGTAATCTCGATGAATTCAGAGGCGATAGTCCGCTTAACGGGGAGGTTGTTCAGCACATCAAGCAGGTCGCTAACCAGAGTCAGGTCAAATTGGTGGAAGTAGGTCACCTCTTATGCCGACCTGAGGTCTTGCCTAGCTTTCATAGTTTGGCCTACTAGGGTGGTATCGAGGTCATCGATGCAGTTGTAAAGTGTCTGAGGTGCTCCTGGGGTCTGCTTACATGGTGTCAAGGTGTCATTTCGTTGTTCTGCACTACCATGTGTCATGATATCATTAGAGGACCAAATTACCTCTCATCAATTGCCCCCACGTCCAAGCCCGACCAGGAGGACGTCGGCTGGCTATAAGTCC